TGGAGTGCATGTGCATGGATGCACTCAAACACACACACACACCCATACACACACACAACCAGCCATGGTGACACCCTCACTCATAGCCAGGAGACCCACACAGATGCACACACAGGCAGGCAAGGCCCTAGAAGAGACTCACACCACACACACACAGATTTCCAGGTACACTCACACTCCTTCACACAAACCAGCAGCAGCAGCTGAGTTGGATGACTTCCTCAAAAGAGGGCTGGAAAGTTTGTTTGCTGCCAGAGAAGGGGCCTAGACATTCCGTGAAATGACTCATACTGCACCTTTATAGACATTAAATGTTGCATTAAACAACAACAACAACTCTCAACCCCTGACGTGGGGCCAGGGTGGGAAAACTGAGGAGCGGCTGCCTTCCCATTGGGCCTCTGCTGTGCTTCTGGCTAGCAAATGTCTCTGGCTTGTCCTGGATTACCTGAGGGACACAGCAAAACTGAGGGAATAGAATCATCAACCTCCTGGTGCAACCCTCAGCCTGGGCTCGCCCCTGGCAGAAGGTAAAGTGGGTTCTGATCAGCGCCCCTCACAGCCTCTTCCCCAACCCCCGCCCCCATCACCAGGCCTGGATGTCTGGGAACAAGTCCTGTGCCCCCATTGTGGTGGTCCAGTCTGAGCCTCCTGATCTCGCCTCCTATTCAAGTGCCTTCCCCAACTTTGCTAGGTCTGTCCTTACTGCAGCATCAGTGCACAACTCCAGGGGGCAACATTCACCTTATAAAATATGTAAAGCCTTATATTGTGACTGGAACCCTCTCCCCTTCATCTGAGGAAGGAGCACCAACTTGATGGCTGCTTGTGTCCCTGTCCCCCAGAACACTCAAAGAAATCACTTGGTGCCCCTCTGGCAAAACTTCCATTTGCTGACGTCCTGGTCCACTGGCACTGGGTTGTGGCAGGCCAGTCAAGACCAGGACCCCTCTTCGCTCTAAAGACACATCAGAAGCCAAAAGGATGGCACAAGATAGGCACTAGGCCTGCAGATGTTGAGGCACAAGGAGTCAACTCTGGCTCCCCTGGACAGTGTCCCCAAATCCTTGGCTGCCCGGAGTAGGTATGTGTTACTCTGCGCTGGCCTCAGGGACATTTTCAGGCTGAGCTCTGGCACCAAGATAGGGGCTGGGGACCAGTGGAACTAGAGACTGTGGGAGAAGGAGTGAGGGGGGCTTCATTTGCTGAACTTTACCTGAGGCCATTTCTTCTTTATTTTTTTTCCCCTCAAATGAGCCACAGGCTTGGGTCTCTCCCAGTTCCTACCTCCCAAATCTCCCTTCATCCCAGAGGGACAACTGAAGGGGACTCAAAGTGTTTCCCAAACCCCAGCCCTGCTCATGGATATAAGTATAGCAGGGACAGATCTTCCCAACAGCCACCGTGCCCAAGATTGACATACTGAGTGCCAGCTCTGGGCCAGCAACCCCTTCTGTCAGGCTGTCACCCTCCCTCCAGGCTTCCCCTTGAGCTGCTGTCCAGCCCATCAAGAAGTAAGACCCAGTTCCTCCAGAAGTTTTGTAGGGCTCTCATGGTACCAGGGCCTGTCTGGAGGATAAATGTAAAACTCTCCACTTTAACCATTGAAAACTGAGTGGGGTAGGGGGACCAAGTGACTTTCTAAGAGCCCCAGTCAGGCATTCTCCCTAACCAAGGGAGATGGCTGGCTACCAGCTTCATCTCCTCATCCACCTGCCTGCTTTAGCCTGGGTTCACCTTCACCCCCAAGATGGGCCAGGGCAGCAAGCTTTCAGCCTGTCATCTGGGAAAGAGAACTTGGTGTAATCTATCCCAGGGAGCTTGATTTTGCAGCTACTCTATGAGCTTTTTAGAACAAATACTGTTTATGCTGACCAGCCACAATCTGGGACTTCCAGATTTCTGTCTGTTGTTCAGATTACTTAGGCCTGCTCGTGGAAACCCAACAAATACAAACATGTGGTTACTGAGCACAACTGAAGAATGAAGACTGTCTTTGTAGAAGGGTAACAGGGGGCTTCTCAGCTTTAAAGAGGGGAGGATTCCTGCTTTTGAATATACTTCTTCCAAAAGCCTGATTGATCAGCAACTTTTCTAGCATGTGTCTGTGGTGGAAAGTCAGGGCCACAGAAGCTGTGGCATTGTGGTATTTTCTTCTGGCCACAGGCAGAATAGAATTTGTTGAGGCCAAGTGTTAAGTGAAGGGGGAAGCAACCAGCCATCTTGTCTCCAAAGAACCTGGGGTGATTTGCAGAAGAACATGGGCTATCAGGTCCTGCTTGAAAAGGGGGACAGAGGGCTCAGAAAGCTGTCAATGTGGAAGGACAAATGGAATGCACCAGAGGGGAGGTGATCCCTATACAGACTGTTGGCAGCCGGTAGTCCTTTACCTCTTAGCAGGATCTCGGTTCTGAGGCCTGAGAGTAGCCAGTCAGGGTTGGAGAGCTGGGGTACAGCAAGGAAGGAAAGAGGTTGTGAGTGCACTGCTGGATGGTGCTGCCTGGGCATCTTCAGGCAATACGAGAAGGGGAAATTCCTGCCAAGTCAGGGAATGAGCCATTGACAGAGACAGTGTGGCTGTCATCAGGAGATTGGTGATTTCAGCCTGGCTGGCCCCACCTGGCTGGGGCTCACCCATTGGGGTAAGTGGAACATGGGGAGTCAGGTGGAGAGGGACTGACAGGTCTGGAAGCAGCAAGGTCATGGGGAAAGGCAGCCAGGAAGGTCGTTCAGGTGGCTCATGGCTCCCCAAGGTAAAGTCGCATAAGATTTTCATCACAAGGGTGGGGGTTGCTTTGACAGCAACTCCTAGTGGCTGGGGAAGGGACTTATGGGATTCCCACAGTCTGTGGGCTGCAGGTCACTGGCAGTCAATAAAGCCAGTCACCATGAGTGGTCTGCAGTACTGACCACTCTCTTGCTCTTCCCAAGAAGAAGACCTTGCCTCATTAGGCTTCAGCCTTGGTCTAAACCACATACACTCGCAGAGACCCACCATTACTCTTCAGTAGCATCTGTCTTGGCCCTGTCACATTTTTCTCCCAAGAGCTGGGTTGAGAAAATAAAATGAGGGTAAAGATGATTCTGAAGACAGCTAACATTTATCCAGGGCTTACTAGGTACCAGATACTGCCATAGATGTATAGTTACCCCAGTCCTCACCACAGCCTTGTGCAGGAGGTTCTCATCAGCCTCAGTTTTATTTATTTATGTATTTATTTGCAGTACTGGGGCTTGAACTCAGAACCTCGCACTTGCTAGGCAGGGGCTCTACCACTTGAGCTGCTCCACCAATCTCTTTTTGTGTTGGGTATTTTTGAGATAGGATCTTGAGAATGATTTGCCTGGGCTGGCTTCCAACTGAGATCCTTATGATCTCTACCTTCTGAGTAGCTAGGATTACAGGCATGACCCACTGGCGCCCAACTTATCCTCAATTTTTAAACAGGAAAGTGAGGCTCCCAGAGTTTAAAATGACTTGCCCAAAGTCACACGCTGGTAAATGGTGCTGCTAGAATAAGAACCCAGATCTGTCTGACAACTACTCTTAGAAAAATGGGAACGTGTGTGTGTGTGTGTGTGTGTGTGTGTGTGTGTGTGTGTCTGTCCATTAGTGCATATTGAGGGTGTCTGGGATCTATCACAAACTTAAAGAGCAGAGCCTCATGGGCAAGAAGCAGGCAGAGAACTGTGTGTCTCCAGGATCTGGAATCCCCCAAGGAAAGTGTACCCACCTGTAAAAGAAAAAGAAATGAGAGCTTGTTCTGGTATTTGTTTCGGTGACTTGACTATAAGTAGCCAGGAGGTCTCAGGGGCCAGTGCCTCAGTCCAACCACTAGATCTTTCCCTGTTAACCTTTAATCTACAGCTGCCTTTGCTGCTGTCATCCCTCAGTCCTGCACCAGGGATCATCTTTGCCAAGGCAGATACTGGTGGCTGAAACAGTCCTTGAACCAACCGCGGGCCCTTTGGCCACCCCTCACCCTTCAGAGGGCCCTCCTCTCCTGGGGCCCCTTCAGCTGCTTTCTGCCAAGTAGGCCTAGCTGGGGCACTCCTCATGTAGAGCTGTAAAGAGTGGCAAGTTCCACTAGACTTACTTTCAGAGTTTCCTAGCTGTAGGACCAGGTGGGGGCTGGTATACATGCTGAAGCAGGTCAGAGAAGGCGCAAAGGAGAGATGGAATGGGCACCTCAAATTGACCACCTGGGCTTTAGAATAGAGAAGAGGGGGCATGGGCTTTCTCCCCAGCATCCCAACTCTGGCTGCCTTTGCACCTGCTGTGTCAGCCCCTCTCCCTCCCTGGTTCCCAGATTCCTGTCTGCCAGGGCTTGCCCCCAGAAGCCTAGGTTCCTCTTCCCCAGAAGTCCTGAAACTCTTCAGTCACTGCAACTGCACTCTGTTTGGCTCCCCCGCTTCAGTGGGGCTTGACATATTGTTCCCAAATTTGACTGTCTGGACATCTCCTGGCCTCATCCACTGCTAGGCTCCCTGGACCGCCCACAGAAGGAGCTTGGTAATGTGGACTGAGGGCCCGGGGCCAAAGGCAAGGAGCGAATGTGGCTGGACGCAGCCTTCCTGAGTTCTCGGGGAAGGGATTTCTCCGCGGGACATTGTGTGGGGCCTCCCGTCTTGAGCGTCCGGTTAGTGTTGAGGGACCCTGGGCCCGCCGATGGTGAGCAGAGCAGGGGGGCGCTGGCCAGGGCCCTGCAGGAGCTGTGCGCTCGCTGTCCCCCGGGGGAGAACGAACCGCGAGGGGGAAGAAGAGGCCGCGCGGGTCCCTGGCACGGCTCCCCCTGCCGTGCTGGCGACCGCGGCGGGGCCGGGGGTGGAGGGGCGCTGTTTCCACCGAGATGCCTTGTCCCTCCCTCGCTCCCTCCTCCACCCCGCCCGCCCGCGGTCCCTCCCGTCGGTCCCTCCCTCCGGCTCTTCCCTCCCTCCCGCCCTGCCTCCTTCGCGCCCGCCCCAGCCGCCGCCTGCGGGGACGTGTGTCTCTAGTGCAATTTCCCCTTTCGTTCGGGTGTCTCAGTGCAGGTCTCCGCTGGCTCGCGCCCCCTCCCCGGGCGCCTCCGCCACCCCTTTCCTCGGCTCGGCCGGGCCCGGTCCTTCCCCGAGTCCACCCAGGTCCCCCCAGCGCTCACCCCACCCCCCGACTCGTTTTATCAGGGGCGCCGCCGTCTCACCTGGTATTTGCATCTCGCCCTCCAACTTGGCCATTGGCGGCGCGACGTGTGGGAGAGCCCTGCGCCTCGCCCGCCCGGACCAGCCTGCCCCAGCGCCGAGGTGAGTCACGGGCGCGGGGCGGCGGGGGCAGGCGGGCAGGGAGGAAAGAGGGAGGGAAGGAGGAGGGGAACCGCGGCCCCGGCGGCCGCGGGGACCGACCCGGGAGCCGCGCTCAACTTCCACTTCTCCTTTCCCCGGCGCTGAGCTCCAGGCGCCACTTGGCCGGCGCGGCTTCCGAGGGGAGAAGACAGGCTGGCGAGGGTGGGGACCCGCGCCTCGGCCCCTGGAACGGGGAGGGGACCGAGCCTGGCCCATAAATCTCTCGGCCTCAGGTACGTCGATGGCTTCGGTTCTTCGAGGCTTCAGAGACCTCGAAAAGTTTGCCTGAGGTCGGGATCAGGGGCGCCGCGGCCCTGGAGTGGGGACGGGGGCCCGTGGAAGGGTGAGAGAGCCTCGGCTTGTGGAGTGCCGCCCTTGCCTCGCTTCGCTGCGTGTACGCTGGGGAACCCGGGCTCCTGATCCCCGGCTAAAAGTGGAATCGTTTTCCTAAGTCGGGGTGGGGGACCGGTTCTCCTGCGCCCCGGGCAGCCTGGGTTCCGTGGAGGGGCCAATCGTGACATCAGGCCCCCCAAAGCTCAGCGCTAGAGGGCAGGAGGTGGGGCGGACTGTGGCGAGGCTGCTAGCAAGATCCCGCCGCCCCTAGGGCTTCTGGGGCCAGGAGCGGTAGGGTCACACAGAGGCACGCACGTAAACCTATGACTTGGAGAATTCGATTGCCAAAATAGAGACCTCTTGGCAGGGGCTGGAGTTTCCGCGTGAGCCAGCCCCAGCCTTCCCGCTCTCCTCGGTTCTCCCGCCTCTCTGTTCCCTCCCCTACTACCACGGAGAGGACTAAGCAGCTGCCCAGTGTGGGGGTTCCCTAACGCCAGCGTCTTGCTTTAGAGGTTTGGGGGGACTACCGGAGGCGTCAACCACTTTATGAAGTCCTGGTCCCTCCAGGACATCCTGGCTAACTCTGCTGCCCTTTCGTCCGAACTGTGCCTGGGATGTGGCCTTCCTGACCAGAGTCACCTCCTGACCCCTTGGCACCTTGGCTCAGCCAGGTTCTCCCTGGTGCTCCCACCACTACCACACCCCAGCTGAAGGATTTGATGGCCCTTTGATTCCTGCCCCTCATCCCTCTGCCCAAGACAGGGGCCTGTCTGGTCCTGCAGCTTCTTCTGGTTAATGTTTGACAGTTCATTGTAGCTAATCATTTTAATTAGCTCTTAAAGTGGGGAGGAACAGTTAACCTTGGACTTCTCGATTTTGGCCTGGTGGGGCCTCAAATGGGAGGAGTGCTGGGGAGGTGGGGAGGTAGGAGCGGAAGTGAGGTCACCACCTCAGGGCCTGAGCCACCACTGCTGGCCTCAACAGCTGGTGGGCACGCCCATTGGAGACTCAACCTCTGCGAGCTGACCCCTGGCCTGAATGCCAGGTTGGAGGAAGGTGAAGGCAACCTATGTAGTTGTCCCCTTTGGGGACACAGGGCCCTTTGACACTAAAAATGCCTGAGGAACACGTATGCCCAGCAAGAATGTCAATCCCTCCTTGCAGTTTACAACTGGGATTTTCCCGATTATAAAGTGTTTCCTCCACCATTAATTCAGTGTACCCAGTGCAGGAACAGTCTAGCAGGAGCTACATGGAGGCATGTGAAGGTTGTCAGGGAAGACCTGGCGCTGGTATGGGCGAGGGGCTGCCTTGCATGTGTTTGTCTCTGGAGCTGTGTTCAAAGCACAGGAGCTCTTGTTGTTGTTGGGGAGGGGGGGCATGAAGCAGGCTCCACGTTGCCACCCTCACCCAGCCTCTTACTGTGAGCCGAAGGAGTGGCCTGTTTGCAACTATGTCTGGCATTCCTCCCTCTGCTGCACTGTGTTTGCTCCGTGGTTACTCAGGAACTGGCGCCCACCCCTGGACAAGCCAGGGGCCCCAAATCCACCCTCCCTCACCTAGTACTAAGTGGTGGCACAGTGGCTTAGGTCTCCTCTGCCATATATTAGGATCCAAAACTGAGGATGCTGTGGTCTGTATGTTATGGGCCTAATTGATAGCATATTTGAAATGCCCCTAAATTGTGTGAAATTCAGGAGTTTTTTTTTTTTCAGGAGAGGCCCAATAGCCACAGGCTGAAGATGTTGTTTTCCAGGGAACTCTCTGCTCCTGGACTTGACTTTGGTCCTCTCCATAACAGCACCATCCCCAACTTTCCCATTTTACCTCCAATCCCTAGAGCCAGCTTGTCTGAGTTGAAATTCCAGTTTTGTCATTTACTAGCCACGTGCCCCCAGTCAACTCTATGCCTCAGTTTCCTTATCTGGCAAAGGAGACCTACCTCATAAAGTAAGGGTGATGACCAAATACATTAATACATATAAACTGCTTATGAGAACAGTGTGTGGCACACAGTAGGTAGGAACTGGCATTATGACATTGTCTAATGCAGAGCCTAACACTCAGATTCAACTTAGCAAGCATTTTGCTGAGAACCTGTCCCAGAACTGGGCCCCATCAAAGTGGCAGTGAGGAAAATATAGATGTGAAGAAGGCACAAGCTGCCTTCCACAATTGTGTGCACCTTTCTATATGGGCTGGAGTTGGGGGATGTAAGAGGGGCCAGAGAGATTGGATAAGTCACTCATATAAATAACCATAATTTAAAGACAGGCGCAAATCCCTGAGCCACTGTGGGTAGCCAGGCACCCCAGACTGGAGGTTTCTCCTGGCTTGGAGAACCTGGCTGGGTTCTGGACTGGTTACTGCCTGCTGCCCCCTGCCCCGTCCCCCACCCACCACCCCCGACTGCCCTATGGTTTGGGTGAATGAGAGGGAAAGCAAGACCAGTCCCTGCATGGGCTACAGGTGGCTAGCATTCAGGGTGATTTATTGGGCATCAGGCCATGATGGCATTACACACTCAAGTCCCCCTAGAGTGGCAGGGCTCATGCCTGGCATGCTCCCTTCATGTCCTTGGGGTTCTCTGCTAAATTGGGAAGGTCCGTGGGCAGTCTTCTGTCCTCAAGCCTGGGCCTGACCCCAACTTAGCTTGGTTTTCACTCCTGTTTTTCTAAGCTACAAAGAGGTTTCTGGCGTCACTGCCAATTTATTCCCCTTGTGGTTCTCAGACTGAAAACTACTTCTGCAGGGGAGGAAGGAAACACATGCAAGGTACCCAGAATCCCATCGGCGTTTTCCTAGGGGTCAGGGGCTTTTCTCATCAACACCAACCTGCCTGCAAATATCTAGCTGCTGAGCCTCGTGTGTTCTGTAATAGCGGCTGCACTGCTAATGCCCTGTAGCTCAGGGCCCAGTGCTGGTTGCCAAGAAACTGCTGGTCGGGGTGCTTATGAGGGTTCTGACCTCATAGGGGCTGCTGAGTTTCAATCCAACAGACATTTATTAACACCTACTGTGTGCCCAACCTGTGCTATGAGCTGTAAGGAGGTGATGGGGCAGAGAGGACTGAGACATTGAACACAATCAGAGGCGAGGACAAGCAGCCAGGCCAGGGGCTGGTCAGGTGCTAATTGTGCTCCTTGGAGCAGAGGCCAGCTCAGCCAGGACTCTGAGGTCAGCAGCAGCTGGAGGAGGGAGGGAAGGCTTTGTGCAAGATACGGGCGGGCAAGGCTAGACCTTGAAAGGGGGCGGGGGTAGAGAGGGGGAGACTTGGCTCGGCAGAAAAGGGAGAAAAGATGCCTTTCTCTCTATTCCCCGGCTATGGACTGACCTTCATAGCCTGGATAATTGTTTGGTAAATGTATGTCACATAAAAGAACAGGTCAGTGAGTGTGGGTGGCTCGATGTAGACCCCAATCTCCAATCTCACCGATCTCCACGTTAGGAGATACAAAGTGACTGGGGCCCGGACAGTGAGCTCAGCATGCATTGATAAGACACAAAGGGTGGCCAGGCTTCCCTGCCACCCAAGCTGAGAGAATTTTATTCTGAACCACTCTTCCCCACTCCCCCTGACACACACAGGTCATGGCGGGGGAGGGGTGGAGAGCGAAGACACCAAATCGATGGGAAGACTGACATGCCACAAGTGTTCACAGGAGCAGGAAATTGCCTGGGTCCCACCTTTCCCCCAGGGTTTTGAGATTTCTATGAAACACATGAGGGAGGAGAGAGATTTCCATAATTTGCTCCCTTCTCCTGCTGCCAGCCAGAAACTGGAAAGTCTAGAGAGCCCCACATGTTTCAGGCCAGACCAGCAAGGACTACTATATATGTGTTCTGCTGCTTTTGTGTCCCCCACATCTGGGTGGGAAGGGGGCCTTGGCTCCTGTTGGGTTTATTTGGTTAAAAACACCCAAACACCCCCCACCATCACCACCATCGCCACCCCCACACACACACCCATCAATTTTCCTTGCACTGTCCTCTTGCCTTGCCCCAACCCAGCACATTTCAACACCTAAGGGACATGCCAGAGTGCCCTGACTTCTTGGCTGGGAAATTGTGTCCTAAGGTGAGTTTCTTGGCAGTGACCCAGCCTGCCAGGTCAGTGAGTGTGAGTGAAAAGGAGGCGCAGGCAGCAGGGACAGGTGTTTCGTTCAGGATGGTCTGCAAGGGAAAGTGCCAGAACATTACTCAAAGAAGCTAACCAGAAGTGAGAGGTTAAAGTAGCTTGCCCAGGTTGAGCAAGCTGTGCCTTGGGTTCCCACCTTCTGGATGAGCCATTTTGTTGTCCCAATGTGGGCAGTTTCTGCCTCTCAGTCCACCTGTCCTTCCTAAAGCTTCCTGTCCTTTTCCAGTCTGACCCAAAATCCTTCCCAAGAAGTGTTTGGTCTAGAGGAGAAAGAACACAATCTCTCTGCTTTCACATCCTAGACCTGCCACTCACCTGCTATGGTGATTATGGATTAGTTAACTGAGATGATGCATTTGAAGCTCGATGCCAGCACCCCGTAAGTGTTTGCTGGTATTATTATTATTAATTATCATTATTATTATCGTGGTGGTGGCGACTGATGTTGTTATCATTTCTCCTCCACAATCCCCTGATTTTGCCAGGCTCC